CGACATAGCCATTATGCTAACTGCTGGTTCCTCTATTTTCATTTTTAAGTGTAAAAATAAAAAACATAGTAAAAGAAAGAATCACTTGCAATATCCTAAATTTTAAAAACAATCAACCTTCAATATCTTGAGACTTTTTGAAAAAATAAAACAAAACACTGTGTATTGCTATACCATTAGAGTATAAACAACTATGATTCCTTTATCTTTTCTCTTTCTTTTATCAAGTTTATACTTAAGATGACATCCTTCATTTTGTAGCTCTATTTTGCACCTTTTTTTTTTTTGGAGATATTTTTGCTACAGGGCGCATATGCTCACCGGACAGAGAGAGAAAGCAGGAAATCATCCCCCAGGGGGGATGGCCACACTGCAACCCCTTCTCATCCATTCTCCTCTCGGGATCTTGGGCATGCACGCGCTCACACCTGGCGTGCGTTTAAGCCACCAGGTCCAAGACTCGAACCGCGGTCGACTACATGGGAGTCCAGCGACATAGCCATTACGTTAACTGCTGGTCCCACCAAACCATTCTCTTTGAAATGGTTTTCTGTCATCACAGAATGACCTTGGAAATGGCGAATGACAAAATACGCAATTTTTAAAAAGGTTTTTGCTATAGTGAGCATGTGCTCCAGGGAGAGAGAAAGGAGGAGACAGTGAGAAGGAGAGTGAGAAATCACTTCCCAGAGGGGGCATGACCACACCACAACCCCTTCTCCTCCATTCTCCTCTTGGGATTTTAGGCACACATGCACAGGCTCCTGACATAAATTTCAAGCCCCCAGGTGTCTGGAACTTGAACCATGATCAGTCATGTGAGAGTTCAGCACCTTAACTATCATGCCATTTGCTGGCCCTGCAACACTTTTTTTTTAAGAGAGATTTTTGCTATAGGGCACAATGTGCGCTCATCAGAGAGACAGAGAAAGACAGGGAGACAGAAAGTGAGAAATCACCCCCAAAGGGAGATAGCCATGCCACAATCTCTTCTCCTTTCTCCTCTAGGGATTTTGGGCACTCATGCACATGTGCCTGGTGTGAGTTTTATGTTGCTAGGTCAAGGACTTGAACTGCTGCTGTACAGTAAGTAGGAGTCCAGTGACTTAACCATTACGCTACCTGCTGGTCCCAATACTTCTTTCTTTAATAATAATAGTAAGCAGTAACTAAGTACAAAGGTCAAGAAGCCATCATTCAAAACCACTTTGTAAGGGGTTAGGTGCTATTAACAAATACAGCTCCTTGGCACAACCCTGCATTTGCTCATAAAGATGAAGAACCATTACAACAACTAGATCTCCTTAGTAATAATGATCAGCAGGTAAGTCAAGATTCTCCACAAAGGAGGGAAATAAGAGAGAAAAAAAAAGGGAAGTGGACAAGAAAAGGAGAGAGAAAGAAGGGAAAAAAAGGGTGTGGGACAAGGATGGAAGAAGAAAAGAAGGAAGAAAAAAAAGGAGGGAGGCAGGCAGTTCACAGGAAGCAGTCAGGAAGGAAAGAGAAGCCACAGCTTCAAGTTAGCCATGCACACAAGCCTGCAGGTGCACTGGAGCTGAAAAAGAAACAGCTCTAAGAGTCAAAAATACTCACTTTCTTAGAAGACAATGGTATTTAATTTCTCAATGCATAATCAACCATACATGAATAAAATACTGAAAACATCCATTTCACAAGTGAAATGTAAAACACTTAAAATGAATACCAATAATATTAAGAATTAAGTACTAAAAAGGGACTTTATTTTAAAAGGTGTACTTTTCCCTCTAAGAATTCTTCCCAAAGTCACATGTCACAGAAATTTACAATCTTGTATTTTCTTTTTTTTTTTTTAATATTTATTTATTTATTTATTTAGTCATTGATTTTTTAATTTGACCAGAGAGAGACAGAGGGTGAGAGTGAGAGAGGAAGTGAGAAAGCAAGCCACCAGGTCCAATACTCAAACCCTGGTCAGCCATGTGGGAGTGTCCAGCGCTTAAGCACCACGCCACCCGCTGGTCCTGACAATCTTGTTTTTTCTTAATTATTTTATTTGGGGCTGGCAGATGACATGGTGGTTAAGGGCACTGGTCTCCCACACAGGTGACTGCAGTTCGAGTCCCAGATCTGGTGGTTTGCTTTCTCACTCCCGCCCTGCTCCCTGTCCCTCTCTGGTCAAATTAATAATTAATAATTATTAATTAATTATCCCACCCTTAACCACCATGCCATCTGCTTGCCCTGAAATTCACAATCTTTGATGAAAGTAAGAAATATCTGTATTTTTTTTAAACCACAGTACAAAGGGTCTTCAGAAAGTTCACAGAATATATGTATTAAGAAAAAACCAAGGGACCAGCAGTTAGCGTAATGGCTATGTCGCTGGACTCCCTCATAGTCAACCACGGTTCGCGTCCCAGACTTGGTGGCTTAAAAAACTCACGCCAGGCGCGTGTGCGTGCATGCCCAAGATCCTGAGAGGAGAATGGAAGAGAAGGGATTGCGGCGTGGTCATCCCCCCAGGGGGTGATTTCTCGCTTTCTATCTGTCTCTCTCTGTCTGTTTGGTGAGCGCACGCGCCCTATAGAAAAACCTCTCTAAAAAAAGAGAAAAAAAAAAAAAGAATGGACTCTAGGAAGCTGATGAAGGTGCTTAAGGCAACTGAATCTCACATGGCCAATTGCATGGTTCTAGTCTCAGAGCTGGTAGCTTGATAAATATGTTGGGTGTGTTTGCATACATGCCCCAAATCCTGAATGAAAAATGGATAAGAAGAGATTGTGAACAGCCATTTCCAATGAGGGGTGTTCTCCCTCATGAGTTTAAGCCACCAGGTCCGGGACTCGAACTACAGTCGACTATATGGGAGTCCAGTGATGTAGCCTAGCCATTATGCTATCTACTGGTCTCACATGTTACAAAATTTTTTGCACCATAATAAACATGTACTTTAACTCAATGTTTTCCATGAAATTTCTGAAGTCTTTTCAAATTAAAAAAGAAAAGGGGACCAGCAGGTGACACAGAGGTTAAGGTGACTGGAGCTCAGGATGGCTGATGTCCTGGATCCAGTGGCTTGAAAATCACACCAGGTACATGTGGGTACATGCCTAAGATCCTAAGGAGAATGGAGGAGAAAGGGTTGCAGCGTGGCCATCCCCTTTGGGGGGTGATTTCTCACTTTTCTTCTATCTCTGTCTCTGGCAAGCACACATTCCCTATAGCAAACAAACAAAAGAAAAGAAAATGAAAAAGGGGCTACATAGTTCATATAAGTTCAGGCAGGGTGAGGGAAGATCAAAAGAGACACCTGCAACTACAAAACCCACACAAAGCCCACAGACGACATTTCTCCAAAGTAAACCGTCCAAGGGGTAAGAGCCACAGAACATGTCTCTGTAGGAAGAAGTCTGTAAGGAAGCAAAGGGACTGAGAGGCACTGAATTTTGAGTAGCTCTGTAGCTACTCACCTCTGCACTAGAAAGAAGGAAAGTTGTGAAGGAAGCTTTATGCCTTCTCTAGTGTGGTTTTCCTTTCTCTTCACTGGAAATTGGCAGCTTATGTTTTCCCTTCTCATATGATGTCACCACACCTTTCCTGAGCTCTTACACCTCTGCTATGAACCCCTGGATCATCTGACTAGGTTTTTTGAGTCCATGGCCATATATGGGGCAATGTTTCTGTGGTAAATGTTGCTGAATGAAGTAAATGATATAATGCATGGAAGCCCTTACACATTTAGGTAGTGCTAAATAAACAGAAACTCCCTTTGTTATTATTAGCATAGTAATAATAAGTCAGTTTCAAAATGTATTGATTCAACCAACATTTACTGAGTGCTAATCAGATAGCAGGCATAGTCCTTACACCAAAAATGATTCAAAGAAGAACATATCTGGGTCCAGGAGATAGTGTAATGGCTATGTCACTGGACTTCCATGTAGTCGACCGTGGTTTGAGTCCCGGACCCAGTGGCTTAAACTCACGTCGGGCGCATGTGCCTGCGTGCCCAAGATCCCAAGAGGAGAATGGAGGAGAAGGGATTGCGGCGTGGCCATCCCTCTGGGGGTGATTTCTCACTTTCTGACTCTCTGTTTCTCTCTGTCTCTCTGGCGAGTGCACATGCCCTATAGCAAAAACCTCTACAAAAACAAAAAGGGACCAGTAGTTAGCGTAATAGCTATGTCGCTGAACTCCCATGTAGTCGACTGCGGTTCGAGTCTCAGACCCGGTGGCTTGAACTCACGTGGGGCGCATGTGCGTGCACGCCCAAGATCACAAGAGGAGAATGGAGGAGAAAGGATTGCGACGTGGTCATCCCCCCTGGAGGGTGATTTCTCGCTTTCTATCTCTCTCTGTCTTTCTGGCGAGTGCACGCACCCTATAGCAAAAACCTCTCAAAAAAAAAGAACATATCTACAGGTTAAGACAGCTTAAAATAATATAAAAGGTATAATGTAACAAAGAAATATAATCATTTTAAGAGTAGAAAGATTAAAAAGCAAAACTGTAACTAATGTGAAAAAATCAGAAGGCTTATAAAAGGTATAATGTAACAAAGAAATATCATTTTAAGAGTAGAAAGATTAAAAAGCAAAATTATAACTAATGTGAAAAAATCAGAAGGCTTCATTGAGAAGAAGCATTTGATAACAGCCTTGAAGATAGGTAAGACTTTTTGAAATAATAAAAGAAAATGATAGAAGAGAAACAAGAAAAGAAAAATATCCAAGAGAAGAAGTGAATAAGCAAGTTTTCAGTGTCAGTAACAGAGGGAACAGCAAGGTGGTTGAGTAATGTAGTGTAGATAGATGAGAGAAGACATGTTAAGAAGCAGAGGAAAGGCAGGACAGAGGACACACAAGGAGGGTCATAAAGCCCCAGGTTAGGAATCTAGACATAATGTGTTGGTCACTAGGAAACCAAAGATGCTAAGAGAAAAATTATACAGTCAGAAAACTTATCTAAAAAACTATAAAACAAAATAAAAATGAGAACTATTCTTGGCTATATCTTACTTTGGGCCAGCTGACATCACTGGGCAGCTCTCTTCTGTACAGAAGTCTGTGATGGTTCCATAGAGCATGTTGATCTGATTGAAGAAATCCACAGCTGCAAAGCAAATATCACTTTTAAGTAATACAGACTGGTTAAGCAAGGCACAGTAGCACACCTCTGTAGCCCCAGCTCCTCAGGCAACTGAGATAGGAGGATCATGAGTTCTGGTTAGCCTGGGCAACATAGCAAAGCTCTGTCTTCCAAAAAGAAAACCAAACAAACCAAAACAAACAATGAAAACAGACTGGTCTAGCAGGTGGCCTGGAGGTTAAGATGGTTGGATTTCACTTAAGAGTGCTTGACTTGGTAGCTTAAAAAACACTCCCAGTAGGGCCAGTAGGCAGTAGTGGTTAAGGCTCTGGACTTCATCAGAGGCCGTCTGCGGTTCAATTCCTGGACCTGGCGGTTTTCTCTCTCTGTCTCTCTCTGATGAACACATGTGCCGTGTAGCAAAATTTAAAAATGATGATAAATAAAATTAAATAAGTAATTCCTTAAAAAAAAAAAGAAAGAAAGAAAGAAAAAAAAAAACAAGTATACATGCCCAAAATCCCAAGAGGAAAGTAGAATAAGGACTATGACATGGCCATCCACACAACTCCCCCCCCGCCCGGAGGATTTCTCTCTCTCTCTCTCTCTCTCAAGCAAGCACATGTACCCTCTATAGCAAAACCTAAAAAACAAAAAACAAACAAACAAAAATTTTAATCTTACTTATACAGAATCTTAGGCTTTTATAGTGTCCTTTGCCCTACAAAGGAACAGGTGAACAGCATTAGAGATACCTCAATATTGACTACATTGAAATCAGGAGCTTGTGCTCACCAAGTGACTACATTGAGAGTAAAAAGACAAGTGCAGAGTGGAAAAGATATTTGCAATATATATATAAGCAACAAAAACGTATCTAGAACATACCAAGAATTCCTATATATCAATTTAAAAAAAAGGCAGTACAGTAGAAAAACATTAAGACAGTTTCAAACTGTCACCTCACAAAAGAGGTTTCCAGGTGGTCAGATATCCTATGAAACATGCTGATCATCATAAAACTGCTAATTTAAATGATAGTAGGATGCCATCCCATAGTCCCCAAAAAGGCTAAAATATATTTGAAAATGTAAATAACCATGAATATCCCAACATATTCTTTTTTTCTCCAAGAATTATTTAATTTTTAATTATTATTTTTTATATTTGCTATAGGCCACATGCACCCACCAGAGAGAGGGACAAAATCAGAAAGGAAGCCATCAGGTCCCGGACCTGAACTGCAGTCTATCACCCCAACCACCATGCCATCTGCTGGCTCCTCCCAACATATTCTTAAACAAAAAATATACATATCAAGATTTATAAAGGACAATGAATAAAATAATGTGGCTTTAGTAGACCAATTAAACAGAACAGATAGAATAGATACAAGCCGCAAGTACAGATGAAACCCCTGATTTATGACAAAGCTATCACTGCAGAACAATAGGAAGGGGACAGTCTTTTCATAAATACTTGAGTCAACTGGCTATCACTATTGAAAAAATAAAATGTGATTCTTGGGTTGGGCCCCATAGCAGTGGTTAAGTGCTTCCATTGGGAGTCCTTTTTTTTTTTTTCTTTTTTTGGAGAGGTTTTTGCTATAGGGCGCGTGCGCTCGCCAGACAGAGAGAGACATAGAGACAGAAAGCGAGAAATCACCCCCAGGGGGGATGGTCACGCTGCAATCCCTTCTCCTCCATTCTCCTCTTGGGCTCTTGGGCATGCATGCACACGCGCCCGGCATGAATTTAAGCCACCGGGTTCAGAACTCAAACCACGGTCGACTACATGGGAATCCAGCAACATAGCCATTATGCTAACTGCTGGTCCCCCATTGGGAGTTCTTACTGGACAGAGAAATGGAGAAAAAAAGACTGCAGCATTACCATTCCCTGGTGGGGGAGAAGCGTTGCTTTTCTGTCTTTCTCTCTGAATGCACATCCTCCAGCAATTAAAAAAAAAATTTTTTTTTTGAGAGATTTTTGCTATAGGGCGCGTGCACTCGCCAGACAGACAGAGAGAGACATAGAGACAGAAAGCGAGAAATCACCCCCAGGGGGGATGGTCACGCTGCAATCCCTTCTCCTACATTCTCCTCTTGGGATCTTGGGCACGCACGCACACACGCCCGGCGTGAGTTTTAAGCCACCGGGTCCAGGACGCAAATCACGATCCACTACGTGGGAGTCCAGCGACATAGCCATTACGCTAACTGCTGGTTCCCATTTCTTTTTCTTTTTTTTTAAGAGAGAGATTTTTCCTATAGGGCACATGTACTCACTGCAGAGACAGAGAAACAGTAAGAAATCACCCCCTTTCCCAGGGGAGATAGCCACACTGCAGTCCCTTCTCCTCCATTCTCCTCTCAGGATTTTGGGCACACACATATGCACACATGCCCAGCATGAGTTTCAAGTTGCTGGGTCTGGGACTTGAACGGTGGTTGATCATGTGGGAGTCCAGCAATGTAATTATTATGCCAATTGCTGGTCCCAACATGGCTACATTTCTTAAAAGCACAAAAAGTACTCATCAGAAAAAAACAGATTTCCATATGATTTGTTACATTTATTTCTAGGTTTTTGGTAATTCTGATGCTATTTATAATTTTTTTATATTGAGTTCAGAGCCAACAACCTTATTAAATTAATCTATTAGTAATAAATAATTATGGTCTTTTCAATTTCAACATATTCGTATTAGCTATAAATAAAAAGGTTCTTTCTTTCCAGTCATTTTATCTTTTATTCTTCCTGTCTTACTAGCTAAGACTCTAGTAAAGTGGTGGTGGTGGATATTACCCTTGACTCACTGCTAATCTGAGGGAAAAAAAACTGTTAACATGTCACTATTACAATATTGTTGTAGCTTTTCTGCAAAAAGATTTGCTTTATCAGAAGAAAGTTCTCATCTATTACTTACTTGATAGGTTTTTCTAGTAATCAATTTTTAAAAAAAGATTCATCTCTTTTCTTTCTTTCTTTCTTACATGAATGAGAGAGAAAAAAACAGATAGGTGCCCCTAACTGGGTCCCCTCCTGCTGCAATCCATGCCCAGACTCAGTCAGCCAGGATCAGGAGCACCTGTACAGGGAGACCTGGAGACATGAACCTTGCACTTTCCAGTATGGTTTCGCCACCCTGGAGCACTGCATACTACTACACCTGGCCTCTATTGAGAACTATTTTTTTTTAACTTTCTTTGCATGTAATTTGTTACTGTTTTTCCATCGTCTGGAGATTGATTCTTAGTTCATCAATTTGATGAACTCACGCCATAATCCCTTCTCCTCCATTCTCCTCTCGGGATCTTGGGCACATACGCACATGCGCCCGGCGTGAGTTTAAGCCGCTGGGTCCGGGACTTGAACCGCGGTGGACTACATGGCAGTCCAGAGACATAGCCATTACACTAACTGCTGGTCCCACTAACGTACTTCTTAAATTTACCAGAGGGTACATGAAATTGGGGATGGGGGGTGGTGGAGTGAGCATTCCCCATAGGAAATGGTCACATAATAATCCCTTCTAGTCTTTTTTTTTCCCACTTTTCAAGATTTTGGACATGTATACAAAAATGCCTGGCACATTTTTCAAGCCACCAGGTCAGAGACTTGAACTGCACAGTTGGTCATAATCCAGTTACCTTAACCACTGTGTCACCAGCAAGCCTAATTACTAGTATTCCAAATATTTTTTAAAAATTATTTAATTTGGGAACTAACAGTTGGCACACTGGCTATGTTGCTGGACTCCCATGTAGTTGACTGCAGTTTGAGTCTCAGAACCAGTGGCTTAAACTCTCACCAGGTGCATGTGCATTTGTGCCCAGGATCCCAAGAGGAGAATGGATTGCAACATAGCAATCCCCCCTGGGAGGTGATTTCTCACTTTCTGTCTCTCTGTCTCTCTCTGTCTTTCTGGCAAGCACACACACCCTGTAGCAAAAACCTCTCCAAAAAAAAATTTAATTTTATTTACTGTAATTATTAATTTTTAAAATTTACAATAGGGCACACACGCTCAACAGAGAGAGAAAAAAAATGAGAAAGCAAACCACCAGGTCCGGGACTCGAACCTCAGCTCGCCAATGAGAGTCCAGCGCCTTAACTGTCATACCACCTGCTGGCCCCAGAATTCTGAATTTAATCTATATGTTACTTTTTGCTACCTGTTTATCATGATTGTTTTTCTCTTATTATAATGTCGTTCCCCTCCAGTAGCTAGGTTATATACATTCACTTACTATTATTTTAGTCTAACCTAGTGCAGGGGTTGGCAAACCATGGCCACAGGCCAAATCTGGTACAGCACCTGTTTTCACAAATAGCTACTAGAACACAAGCATGGCATTGAGTTACAGATGTCTATGACACTTTTACCTTAGAGTCACAGAGTTTAACACTTGAAACAGTTTGTAAGGCTGGCAAAGCCTAAAATGTTTACCATCCGGTGTTAAACAGGAAGTCTGTTAACATTTACCCCAGAATATAAGCAACCTTGATTTAACAAATCCCCAAACAAAAATCAGTATTTCTACCTCCTCCAAGACAATGCATGACTCTTAGATATGAGAAACCATGCTAATCTGAAGAACACAGTAAGAACTGACTCAATCCCCTGTCCTTCTTGAGTTTATATACCAACGGCAAAGACATCTGAATTATCAGATTATTATCAGAATTAACAGCTTCCCCTCAGCATGCCCATTCTTACCATGCTTACCACATAAAGCCAACAGTCGACTGAACTTGCAAATTAACTGAAAGAAACCACAAGGACTGTTCCAATAATCACTGACATCTTCTCTAGCCAACCGTTTAGAAAATCCTGGGGCCAGCAGGTGATGTGATGGTTAAGATGCTGGACTCCCACATGGCCGATCACAGTTTGAGTCCTGGACCTGACAGTTTGCTTCTAATTTTTCTTCTTTCTCTTTGTCTCTGTCTCTCTCTGGTGAGAGCATATGCCCTAAAGCAAATTAAAATAAAAATGACAATAATTAAAGTTAAATATATAATTATTAAAAAAACAAACAAACAAAAAAAAACACTTCTATTTGGCCAGCAGGTAGGTGGTGGTTAAGGAACTGGACTTGCATATGGCTGAAAGTGGGTAGAGTCCCATACCTGGTAGTTACTTTCTCATTTTCCCTTTTTCTCTCTCTGGTCAAATTAAAAAATAATAATTAAAAAAATTAAATAAATAATTCTTAAAAAAAAAAAAATCCTGTATCTTTGGGGCCAACAGGTGGCATGGTAGTTAAGGTCCTGGATTTCCACTTGATCAATCATGGTTTGAGTCCCAGACCCAGTGGCTTGGAAATCGCACTGGGTATGTGTTCGTGTGTGTCCATAATCCCATGAGGACAATGAGGCATGAAAGACTGCTGTGTGGTTATCCTCCGTAGGGTGATTTCTCACTTTCCCTTTCTGGCAAGTGTAGGTGTCCTATGGCAAAAACTTAAAAAATAAGAATAAAATAATTTAAAAATTAACTGATTGTGTCTTTTTATACCATTTGTTTGAGAGAAAGTAAATATATATGTTGTAAGATAATAGACAAGAATTTTATAAAACTATATTCGGAAATAAAACAACATCAAGGCTGTAGTTGGATGGAACTGTCATTAAACTGTGATGTTAGGTTGCTAACTAGGTTGTACAATAAACAGCACCCTAATATTCTCCTATAATAAAGTTAATAATCTATTCAGAGTCTACCAAGAAATGGAAAGGTCACTTACTGTTAACTGCAACCCACTCGTTTAGATCTTCCCCCTCAGGAAGCATGACAGCCATCCGGAGGTTGCCGCTGCCAAGTGTAGCTTCTGCATGTTTTAAGAGCTCATACTGGTGAGAACCCTCTGGAATGTTCTTCTTTGGTTTAAAAGTTTTAGAAGAGCGACTACCACTGTGAATAGAGAAGGGGGGGAAAAAGGCACTTAATATTTAAGCCATGACCTTCAACAAGATTATATTACTGGATAAGTAACATAACACAGAAGTAGTGATCCTAACTATCACGAATAAACAGCAAATGATTAAGTCTAGCCCCCTCTTAATATGAGACCTCAGCTGTTCTGGCTACTTTGATTAGAAAGATTTTAGAGTGTGTGCACTTGCCAGAGACAGAGACAGACAGAAAGGGAGAAATCTCCCACCAAGGGGGATGGCCATGCCACAACCTCTTCTCCTCTATTCTCCTCTTGGGATTTTGGGCAAGCACGCACACACACCTGGCGTGAATTTTAAGCTACCGGGTCCACGACTTGAGCTGTGGTTTTACTACATGAGAGTCCAGCAATGTAACCATTACATCATCTGCTGGTCCCTGTACTGGCTACTTTAAATCCCAGCAATATTGCTGTTCTAAACTCAGAACACACACCAACATTCTCTACTTTAACTCTCATGAGAAAGGAACTTTTAGGCTGTAATTAATCCAGATCTTCCTAAAGAATTAATGACTCAGAATTACATGTTGTAATCTTTTCTAAGGATTTAATGACTCAGAATTACATGTTGTAATCTTTAAAAAAAAAAAAAAGGCACTTTTATGATCACTTCAGTAATTTCCTTCCTTTTCATCTTTTTTTTTTTTTTTTTTTTTTTTTAGTTTTTAGTTTTTGTTATAGAGCATGTGTGCTAGCTAGAGAGATATAGACAGAGATATAGATAGAAGGAAAGTGAGAAATTGCCCCTTGGAGGATGATCATACTACAATCCCCTCTCCTCCTTTCTCTTCAGATTTTGGGTATGCACACACACATACCCGGTGTGATTTTCAAGCTGCCAGGTCTGGGACTCAAACTCCAGAGTTGGCCACGTGGAATCTGGTGCCTTAACTTCTATGCCACCTTCTGGCCCTCATCCCTATTCTCTCATTCCAGTACAAACTTGTACCTTTCTTCTTTTCTTTGTACTTGTACAGGGCATGTGTGCTTGCTGGGAAGAGAGAGTGAGTATGTGCTCATCCCCCACAAAGGGAATGACCATACTGTAATCCCTTCTCTTCCATTTTCCTCTCAGGATTTTGAGCACACACACACACACACACACACACACACACGCACCAATGTGTTTTTCAAGTCACCAGGTCCAGGACTGAAACCACACAGTCAGTCACGCAGGATCCAGTCACCTTTTTATATTATAAAATAATAATATAATATAGTTTAAAATTGTAATTTAAAAATACAAATCTTTAAATTATACTTTTTTTAAAAATTACTAGAGTTCTAGCAGATGGCATAGTGGTTACATCACTGGAGTCCCACATGGTCAACTATGGTTTGAGTCCTGACCTGGTGGCTTGAAACTTATGCTGGGCATGTGTGCATGCATGCCCAAGATCCTGGGAGGAGAATGGATTGTGGTGTGGTCATGTTCCCTGAATGATATCTCATTTTCCCTCTCACTGTCTCTGTCTCTCTCTCCCACGCGAGTAAGTACACATGCCTAAGGCAAAAACCTCTTAAAAATTAAAATAAAAACAGTAAAATTGCTGGAGGGCATATGCACTCACCAAAGAGAAAAAGGGAGAGAGAGAGAGAGAAGGAAAGGGAGAGGGGAGAGAGAGAGAGAGAGAAAGTACCTCTCAACACAACACAGTCATGCTGCAATCCTTCTTCCTCAATTTTTCCATCCTGTCAGGATTTGGGGCACACACAGGCTGCTAGAGCTGGGTTTTGAGCCATAGCTGGCCATATGGGATATGGCTTCCTAGGCATAGCATATAACTGCTGCACTATGGGGGCCAGTCCTTGTAGCCTTCTTACAACAAGCACAAAGATAACAATTTATATCATTAACACATAAAAAAAAAACTAAACCCCTAGACATACATGTTCTACCAATTAGAGGAAGCATCAGTCGTCAATCTCAATCCAGAATTCTGGTTAAGCAGTTACGTAACTAGACATCAGTATGGCTGAGAATTCTGGTTAAGCAGTTACGTAACTAGACATCAGTATGGCTGGGTTTGTCCAAGTGGTTTGCTCAAAGTTTTGAATGTGCATATATACACATGAGCGCACACATAATGTTAACATATACACACACACAGTAGATGTGTGTGTACTATATATAGACACACTAATTTTTTTTAGTAGATCAATTGAAGCTAGGCTTAGAATGGTTTAAGGTCCAGCTCCATGGTGCAACAGTAATGTGCTACTCAAAATCATAAGCTAGATCCCACATGGGGACCGTGGTTCAAATCCCTAGGCTGGCCAGCTTGTAATACAGCAGGCCATGTGAGGGCCCAAAATCTAATGAGCTAAGAAACTGAAGGAAGGAGATTGTAATGTGAACAGATCCTGCGGAGGGTGCTTCTCTCTTTCTCACTCCCAAGTATGCACATACACGTTCTATCACAAATTAAATAAAAAAAAAAAAAGTGTTTTTAAGAGTTCGTAAGAGGGGACCTGCAGATGGTGTAATGGTTAAGTAACTGGACTCCCACAGTCAACCACAGTTCGAGTCTTGGACCCAGTGGCTTGCGCTCTTTCTCTCTCTCACTCTGTTCCTGTCTGGTCAAATAAAATAAAGAAAGAAATAGTAAATAAAGTAATTCCTTTTTTAAAAAAATTAGCAGGTCGGAAAGAAAAAATTATTGATAAAAGTATGGATAAGTAGGAAATCTATAGTTGAATGTACCAAAAAATATCAAAACATTCAGACATTTGAATATTATAAAGTGGAATCCAAACAGAACACAGAAACAATGGTTACACTTTCCAAACTGTCCACTCACGTTCACCAAGATAAAGCAATAGTTCTCAAATGTGACTGTGGGGTTGTAACCAAGGAGTTTTCAAAAAGTCAATCAAGGACCGGGAACTAGCAGTTAGCATAATGGCTATGTCGCTGGACTCCCACGTAGTCGACCGCGGTTCATGTCCCGGACCCGGTGGCTTAAAAAACTCACGCCGGGCGCGTGTGCGTGCGTGCCCAAGATCCCGAGAGGAGAATGGAGGAGAAGGGATTGCAGCGTGACCATCCCCCCTGGGGGGTGATTTCTCGCTTTCTGTCTCTATGTCTCTGTCTGTCTGGCGAGCGCACGCGCCCTACAGTGAAAATCTCTCAAAAAAAAAAAAAAAAAGTCAATCAAGGACCCAGTAGGTGGCATTGTGGTTAAGGCACTGGTCTCCCACATGATAGAACATGGTTTGAGTCCTGGACCTGGCAGCTTAAAAATCACACTGGGGAGAAACAGCAGTTAGCGTAATGGCTATGTCGCTGGACTCCCGTGCAGTCGACTGTGGTTTGCGTCCCGGACCGGGTGGCTTAAAACTCATGCCGGGCGCGTGTGCGTGCGTGCCCAAGATCCCAAGAGGGGAATGGAGGAAAAGGGATTGCGGCGTGACCATCCCCCCTGGGGGGTGATTTCTCGCTTTCTGTCTCTATGTCTCTGTCTGTCTGGCGAGCGCACACGCCCTATAGCGAAAACCTCTCCAAAAAAAAAATTCACACTGGGTATGTGTGTGCCCAGAATCCCCGGAGGAAATGGAAAGAGAAGGGATTAGGGTGTGGTCATCTCCCTGGGGTGAGGGGTGGAGAAAGTGATTTCTCACTTTCCCTTTCACTGTCTCTCTTTGGGAAATGCATATGCTCTATGGCAAAAACCTCGAAAAAAAGTACTGAGGATCTTGAGATAAAGTAAGAAACTTACTATAAGTTCAAATATCCAATTTGAATGGAGGAATTTTTTTCACTCTAAAATAATGATTTTTCTCAGAACCAGCAGCTAGCATGGTGGTTAAGGCACTGGACTCCCACATGGCCGACCATGGTTCAAGTCCTGAACTCAGCAGCATGAAAATTACGCCAGGTGCATATGTGTGCATTCCTAAAATCCTGAGATAATGAAGAAGGGATTGGGGCATGGCCATGCTCCCTCCCTAGGGGGTGATTTCTCACTTTCTCTCTCTGTCTTTCTCTGATGAATGCACATGCCCTAAGGCAAAAAACAAAAACAAAACAAAACTAAAAATACAGGCCAGCAGGTGGTGTAGTGGTTAAGGCGCTGGACTTCCACATGGCCTACATGTCCCAGATCCAGAGCCTTGAAACAAGCTGGGCAAATGTGTGTGTGTGCTCAAAATCCTGAGAGAATAGAGGAGAAGGGATTGCGGCATGACCATTCCCCCAAGGGGTGATTTCTCACTTTCTCTCTCTCTTTCCAGCAAGCACACATGCAAAAATCTCCTCAAAAAATAAAAGCCTAAAAATAAAAATAAAATAATGGTTTTCTCATTGAAACATAGGTCTCTTCTCAAATGTATAATTAGATTAATTTGATACTCCTTGTCTCTAACTCTCTCATCCCCTTAATTCCACTCAATAGCCAAGAGATCTCTTTAAAACATTAATGAAATGATACTACTACTCTGCTTAGAATCAATTAGTGGCTTTCCAGTACACTCACAGTAAAACCAAATGTCAAACATTAGGTATAGTCAGGCTCTAGACCCATACTAGAGAGTATAAATTCTCCAGTTTCATCAGATAATATATTAACCAACACATTCTCTCTCAGCATCTCTAAAGTATAATTATAAAAATATAAATTTATATATGTAATTATAATTATATGAAGATAATCATGCCTACCAAGATTGATACTTATTTCTTTTTCCTCTTTTTCATGCTTTATCAAACTAGAGTGAGCAACATAATTCACCAACATATTTTACAAAGACATTTTACTAATATACATGCGATTAATTGTAAGAATATCTATCCTTTGACTACTGTGGTGCAAGTTTCCAGGCAAGTATTAAACACCCACCTTTTAATTAGCCCAATGCCGAGATCATGCAATAAAAAAGGGTGTGACAAGCAGTTGTGAAAAGGGTTGGCAGAGTACACATGAACTACAAGGATTTCAGGACAGCCAAAGCCTCACCT